AAACGGTTGTCGAATGTTTGTGGATTTACGATGGTGATCTAACATTAATCGATTCAGGATCTCAATTAAAATATCAAGTGTATTTATTATTATTTACTGTATGATTATTACACTTTAATTGCTTGATAATTAAGTATCATCTATCTATAGTCATTCTCATTTGTATTTTAATAACGTATAATTTTCATACTAGTTATTGTATAAAATATCAAAGGCTTCAAATATCAACATAATGAATCTAAGCTCATTGATTTTTATGTGGTTATCCTTTTATTACAACGCCGCCTGAAGCCCTTCTGGAGCTACTGCGGGTCCCATACTCGGATAAAGAAAGAGGGTTGGGTATGGGGTTAGCGACCGCATTCCGCAGAAAACTAACTCGCTAAAGAAATGTTAACCAGAAAAAATAATTCAAACCATTTAAACTCTATCCTTGGAGTTAATAGGTCTTCACCTCATAGTAAAAGCCAAGTTTCTTTGGAAATCACGAGGCTGATGGCCCTTATGACAACCAGAGCAACGATTAATGGAATGCTCGTAAAATATGGGAGACTGGGAGAGTCTTCTAAATTGCTATTCTTTCATTATACAATATCCATACATATCAACCCTTTCACTTTCATCGAGTATCAAATGAATGATAAAGATTAATATTGAACAGTTGGAATTCATTTGTTATATTTGAAAAGAAAATTTTTTTTTACCATAAATGAAAGTTTGTATTTGTGTATAAATGTGAAATAGATAGATAGATAGGGAAAGAGAGAGAGAGAAAGAGAGGGAGACAGATAGAAACAGAGGGAGGGAGAGCGGAGGGAGATAGAAAAGAAGAAAGAAAAAGAAAAGAGAAATAGTACCAAAACAAATGAAAATTGAGCAAAACTATCAAGATGTTATGTGAATAATAAGAATATAATAATGAGATATATTTTCCCAAGTCAGTGAATCCTTTTCTTTAAAACCCATTAATAATAAAGTCATTGAGATTTTGTAACGATATACAATTGAACAATTGGATACTCATTGATTAAATGTGAATTACATTAATTAAGATAATTAGTCTAATGTTTGTTGATTATTGTAGAGTTTTAAGTTAAGATGAAAGATCTGTTCAGTGTTTTAATGTGTTTTTTAAGTTTTAATATCAGATCAAAATGTAATTACAATGGTTGAGATCATGAGTCAATTGAAATTAGACCACCATGGAAAGCCTGGAAGCATTGGATGGATGTTTCGTCCTAGTGTTTGACTCCTCAGCAGTGCGCATCCATAATCCCACCTCATAAGATTCGAACCCAGGATCTATCAGTCTCGCACGGGAACGCTTAAACACATGACCACTGAGTCGGCATCCAACGGTGTTAAGGTCAAACTTCAACTAATCCACGAAATTGAGCGACATATCCACTATTGTCTTCAGTGAGTTACTATCTCACTACAGACCCGGCTGAACTCCATCGGTCACTGCTTCTCAGTAGAACTACAGGAAATACTTTTTGAAGCCAGTCACTAATGAACATTAGTTCAATGAAGAAATAGTTTATTTATTGTTAAGTTTCATTGTAATAACTGTAGTCGTAAGCTGTGTGTATGTATGTATGTGTGTGTGTTTCTGTTATCATATTGAATAGTCATATCATCGAAATATTAGTCTTGGAATTTTTTACGTTTAATCACTAGACAATTGTGAATTTACACTTTTATGGAGTGTATTGTTTTAGTTATTCGATTAGATCCTTTATGTGTCTCATTACATTCTATCTCCCAGATTCTAGTAGATATTATTCTTCACATTTCACGCGACCATAGTATCAGTTTACCTGTAGGTGAGACACAAAATGAACTCCGCCTGGAGTCCCTTCGGGGGCTACTACCGGTCCCGAGACCGGATAAAGAAGGACGGTTGGGCACGGGGTTTTCGATATAATCACGTAGAAAACTAACTCTCTAAAATAACGCTAACCAGAAAAAAAGTATTCAAACCATTTAAACTCTGCCCTGGGAGTCAGAAGGTTTTCATTTAGAAGAGTTATGACGCCTCATGATGAAAGCCGAGTTCCTTCGGAATTCACGAGGCCGATGCCTCTTCTGACAACCAGAGCAAACATTTATTTAGGTACGTGGAGACACAAACTGACTAACAATGTGAAATATTTTGAATTAATCAAAGTTGGTGTTATGAAACACAGTATATTATTTCTGTAGTCAAAAAGGTAATGTGTTCGTTAAGAGCCCCAAAGCTCCTTGTGTTCGATCTCTCGAGAGATCATGTATGTTCATTTCTCAATATTCACATACAAGAGATAAACAATTTTCTAATCCTCACTGGTTTATTTAAATAGATCCACTTGATGATATTGTAGCGGTAAATAAATCCCCAAAATAAATAGCTCTGTAAGTTTTCGACATTGGATACTGACCACATGTTTTAATGGACTCACCTAGCTGAAGGTGCTTGGTCATGCATCCGCACCAGATCACGTGTGGGAACGCCGTGCTCAACATCTATTGCAATCGCTAGCCAGATTAGATCAGACAATTTCGATATATTGACAATCGTCAAATACAACTTCTGATCTCCTCGATTCTGTCTTTTGATTTCTCTTGGTGGGTACGAGTTATATTAGAAGGTGTTACTGGTAAAAGCGTTGTCAAACACTGAATACCTGTGCCATATTCAATATAAACTGTATAAAGATGGAATTCTATCCTTTAAAATAACATTTTAGTCTTATATCTAATGTAGAGTTTACATTACATTTGTAAATAAAGATGGTATGCTAAAGTGAAGCCTAAACTAAATCCTGTTGCTGTACATCCAAAAGTTTCATCAAAACATAGTGAATTTAAATGGTAAAACCAATTATTATTATTATTATTATTATTATTATTATTATTATAGTCAGAGAGGGGTTTTGTGGATATGATAGTAATTTGATAGTTAAATTCATGAATCAATTGAAGCTAGACTAACTGATGACATTGATGGACGGTGGCACAACTTCGTAGATTAGTTGAACACCGTTGGATGCTAGTCCACTGGTCTAGAGGTTAGATGTTCGCTCACGAGACCGAAGATACAAGAGTACAAGTGTTTCATTCGGGATCGTAGATGTGCGTTAATGAGGTGCCCCGTGATTGAACGAAACACTCGTTCAGTATTTCCAGGTTTTCAATGATACTCTAGCATCATTTGATTCTTAATCTCAATCAAAAACATACATATATATTAGTAATTTTAGTAATTTAATAGTTGAGCACATGAGTCAATTGAAGCTAGACTGTTACGAAAAACCTGGAAGTACTAAATGACCATCTTGTTTTCGTATGGGACTCTTCAACAGTGTGCATCCACGATCCCAATAACGGGATCTGAACCCAGGACCTTTGATCTTGTTCGCAAACGCTTAACTTATGAATAATCTTCCTCTTCTTAAAATACTTGACCAGATAAACATTTGACGTTCATAAAGCTAGGCTTCAAGATAGGGTTTTAAAGTTCTAGTTGAGATCGATGGAGTTCGGGTTTATCGAAATTCAGATGATCATCATAGGTAACACCGGATCACTGTTATGTTACATGGGTAATCGACTGACACTGAAACTTTGGACCACCAGATCTTCACTATGCGGTCCATCAGTGCCATTATTTTCTCGAGACCCAACGAAATTATATTCTACATACTATACTAGAATGAAGTACTTACCTAATGCTTTATGATTTTATGATAATTTGATAGCTGAATTCAGTTTATAATGAAATTTTTCTTTAAGTTGAAACTAATCTGCACAAAACTAAGATGAAATAAGTTCTTTCTAAAGTTTATATCACAAATTGACCTTAGTGAGACAACAATTGGGAAATAGGAGGTACTGAACAGGTATTCAAATCTTTAGAAGCTGGCAACCACGACCCTACCAGGGGTTGAATTCATGACTTTCAGGCCTCATAGTGAACGTTTAATCTTAACACTAATGGCTTGGCATCCAACTTCAGTCACTTCCCGATATTTCCTGGTTCTACTAGCTATGACTGGTCTATGATGTAAAGTATAAATTTTAACGATTTCCATAAACCCCAGATACTGCTAAATGCTTTATGATTTACAAAGTCCACACTTCACATTATTTATTCAAAATGTTGACTCGGATTCTTAGTATTTGGATCTTAACTTTCCATTATAAGAGGATTATTTCAACTCTGGAAGTTGATTCGTCATTAACTAGCTTAACGTATTTATGTGTACACCATAAACCATGCGTGATATTGCTTACTTGGAAACACGTGAACTGACTAACCAAGCATAAAGATTGGATTTATTATAAAAATCACCCGGGATTATAGTTATGTAGTTTTTACTTAACATGTTTGTGAATCATTACTAATAATTATTGTCAGTATAGGGGTTGTGGAGATTGTTAAGTTTTGATTGAGATCATGAACCGATTGATGTTAGATCATCATTGAAAACCTGAAGGCCCTGGGTTTGAATCCCGCGAGCAAGATCGTGGATGCGCACTGCTGAGGAGTCCCACAATAGGACGAAACGGCTGTCCAGTGCTTTCAGGTTTTCAATGGTGGTCTAACATCAATCGGTTCATGATCTCAATCAATAAGTATTGTAGTAAATTATGATCTAATGTAGATTTATACTTACTTACTTACGCCTGTTACCCCATGTGAAGAAGCATAGGCCGTCCTACTAGCATTCTCCAACTAACTCTGTCCTGGGAAATTCTTTTCTACAGGATGGGGTTGCTGACAGCATGCTCGACCCTCCTTTTTTACTCGGCATTGAGGCCGGCAATAGTCCTAGAAGAACAAAAGGCGGAATTATGTGGCTTCATAGCATAGATAATACTGTTCAACGGTCAATATTATTTTGATATTTTAATTAAAGAAAAAGTTGGAATAGTTTTAGAATAAAATTAACATCGGAAGCGGATGTAATAAATAATTTTCCCCTGTGACTGAAATATTAAAAAAACACAATTTTAAGTTAAAATTTATTGTCGCATGAATTCGTTTTCTCCCTATTATAATTAGTAGTAGTCGTATTAGCAGCAGGAGTAATAGTACTAGTAGTAGTAGTGGTGGTGGTGGTAGTAGTAGTAGTGGTAGTAGTGGTATTAGTGGTGATAGTAGTAGTGGTGGTGGTGGTAGTGGTAGTAGTAGTGGTAGTAGTAGTAGTGGTGGTGGTGGTAGTAGTAGTAGCGGTAGTAGTGGTATTAGTGGTGATGGTAGTAGTGGTGGTGGTAGTAGTGGTAGTAGTAGTGGTAGTAGTAGTAGTGGTGGTGGTGGTAGTAGTAGTAGAGGTAGTAGTGGTATTAGTGGTGATGGTATTAGTGGTGGTGGTAGTAGTGGTAGTAGTAGTGGTGGTGGTAGTAGTCGTATTAGCAGCAGTAGTAATAGTACTAGTAGTAGTGGTGGTGGTAGTAGTAGTAGTAGTAGTAGTAGTGGTGGTAGTGGTAGTAGTAGTAGTAGTAGTAGTGGTGGTGGTGGTAGTAGTGGTGGTAGTAGTAGTAGTAGTAGTAGTAGTGGTGGTAGTAGTAGTAGTAGTAGTAGTAGTGGTAGTAGTAGTAGTAGTAGTAGTAGTAGTAATAGTGGTAGTAGTAGTAGTAGTAGTAGCAGTAGTAGTAGTAGTAGTACTAGTAGTAGTAGTAGTAGCAGTAGTAGTAGTAGTAGCAGTAGTAGTAGTAGTAGTAGCAGCAGCAGTAGTAGTAGTAGTAGTAGTAGTGGTAGTAATAGTAGTAGTAGTAGTAGTAGTAGTAGTAGCAGTAGTAGTAGTAGTAGTACTAGTAGTAGTAGTAGTAGCAGTAGTAGTAGCAGTAGTAGTAGTAGTAGTACTAGTAGTAGTAGTAATACCAGTAGCGGTGGTAGTAGTAGTAGTAGTAGTAGTGGTAGTATTAGTGGTAGTAGTAGTAGTAGTAGTAGTAGTAGTAGCAGCAGTAGTAGTAGTAGTAGTAGTAGTAGTAGTGGTAGTAGTAGTAGTAGTAGCAGTAGTAGTAGTAGTAGTAGTAGTAGTAGTAGTAGTAGTAGTAGTAGTGGTAGTAGTAGTAGTAGTGGTAGTATTAGTAGTAGTAGTAGTAGTGGTATTAGTAGTGGTAGTAGTAGTAGTAGCAGTAGTAGTAGTAGTGGTACTAGTAGTAGTAGTAGTAGTGGTAGTATTAGTAGTAGTAGTGGTAGTATTAGTAGTAGTAGTAGTGGTATTAGTAGTAGTAGTAGTAGTGGTATTAGTAGTAGTAGTAGTAGTAGTAGTAGTAGTGGTAGTAGTATTAGTAGTAGTATTAGTAGTAGTAGCAGGATTATTAGTGGTAGTAGTAGTAGTAGTAATAGTGGATGGTTTTCGCATTGCAAATGAAAAAGCAAACATCTACTATTTCAGAAAATTAATGTTGATTTCAGTAGAGTAATTGTTTGACTTGTTCCAATTATCTTACGAACACAAATTAACTACCATCTTGATCATGTATCGAATATGTGCTAAACTGTGTAATGATTGGTGGTAACGCCATTCTCATACATAGAATGAAACGAGTTTTATGTCATAATACAATGGTATATTGTTTGATTGTGAACTAGGAGATTATAAGTTTAAGCTTTAATCAATTCACTTTGGTTTACGTGAACAAAAACTGTATCATAAGTTATCATGCAAAATAGTGTGACCTTAATATAAGTAATCTGCACATACTGAATGATATATATATTGAGGTCGTGATTCAAATGATGGTAGACCACCGCTGAAAGCCTGGAAGCACTGAACGGTCGGTTCGCCCAATATGTGAATCCTCAACAGTGAGCATCCACAATCCCGCCCTCAGGATTCGAACCTAAGGCTTTCAATCTTGCGTACAAACACTTGGCCCCTAGACCATTGAGCCGGTCTGCATCCAACGATGTTAATGTTTTATTCGGAGGCCTGCGTGCGGGATTGTGGATGTGCACTGCTAAGAAGTCCCATACTAGGACGAAACAACAGTCTAGAGTTTTCAGGGTTTCAGTGATGGTCTAACGCTTATCTGACACTATCTGACTGTGTTCACAAATTTGATCCATGAAAAGACTATAAGAAGAATTTGCATTCATTGAAATAGGTCTACTTGAAAATAGATATCCCTCAGAAATTTTTCATTAACTACGATAGATTATGAATCATGATACAGTTGTTAAGACAGAATATTTATAAATATTGACTTCAAAGATAATAAAATTAGTGAATTAACAGATTATGTAATAGATGCTTCACTATAGAATACTTATATGGTTGAATCACTAACCATTTTATCTGAAACGAATTACTACCTAAAATAAAACAGAATTGGAAAAGCCTTCTTTTCTCAGTAAATGAATCAGTTTACAGTTATGTGGCAAAGTAACTACAGTGGAAATGCGGAGAGGAGAATGTAAATTTGATGGCGCTGGATCCCAACAAGCATCATCATAAGGAATGGATCTTTATGGAAACCCTAGACAAGATAAAATGAAGGAAGAACAAGAAGACAGCAATTAAAAACAGTCGAACAACAACAAAGAAAATCAAGGCATAAGCTGAAAACATAGAAGTAAACAAGCAAGTGAAGAAAAGCATTAGAGCTGTCAAGCTGAAATATGTGGAAGATCTAGTATGGATAGTGGAAAAAGCTATCATAGAAAGAAATATGAAACAACTATACAACGCGATGAAGAAAATAGCTGAAAAATATGACGAACGAGAGTGACCAGTCAAGAACAAGAAGGGCAAGCCAATCACTGAAATTCAATAACAGAGGAACAGATGGGTAAAACACTTTGAAGAACTTTTGAATAGTCCAGATCCACCATAAGGTGTCATAATTCATCTGAAAGAAGATCATTCAACTCTCAGGAAAGAGTTTAAATTGTTTATTCTGGTTAACGTTTTTTTAATAAGATTGTTTTTTTCCAGTCCCTATGCGTTTACCCGGGTTTTGGACTGTTAGTAACCTTAGAAGGACTACAGATGGAGTTAAATGACCCAATTAGAAAGATATATTTATCGAAAGGATGCCTGGAGTGGGTTATAATTGAATTTCCAAGCTACAAAAAAGCTTATTTCTCGTGGACCATGACATAAGACTTTGTTTTTTTTATTTCTCTATAATTTTTAGTCAAGTTTCCAGTATCTTAATTCTTACTTACTTCTGAACTTTATACAACCAGTCTATCTTCTGTTTCGAGAAAAGAATATATCTTTTATTCCTATACTATTCTAGAGTATTCATATTTTTACTTACTTACGCCTGTTACCCCCCAGTGAGGTACAGGCCGCCGACCAACATTCTCCAGCCCTTTCTGTCCTGGACCTTCCTTTCTAGTTCTATCTAGTTGTCAGTCATTCTTCTTATGTCTGTCTCCATTCCATGTACTTAAATTAATGGTTCCTATGGTTGTCAGAAGGGACATCAGCCTCGTGACTTCCGAAGGAACTCGGCTTTCATTATGAGACGTCATAACTCTTCTAAATGAAGACCTTCTAACTCCCAGGGTACAGTTTAAATAGTGTGAATTATCTTTACTGGTTAGCGTTTTTAGCGAGTTAGTGTTCTACGGGATGATGTCGCTAACCCCATGCCCAACCCTACTCCTTTATCCGGGCTTTCGACCGGCAGAAGCCCCAGAAGGGCTCCAGGTGGAGTTATTCATATTTTAATCTCCACATTTTAACTCAGTCTATTCTAGACATTTCCGATATAAAGTATGTATATTTGTTTTAATGATTAATACTATGGTTTTAGGTTGTAAGTAGCTGAGGAGTATCCACAAAATGAATGAATTCATGTTATTCTACTACAATATTTGTTCGTTCTTTATTCAAGTTTATATATAAGAAAGGTCCATAGAAAGAAATTGCTGTCAGTTCATCACTTATAGCTTTGCAATAATGTTTCAAAGAATGACATCATGTAATGAAAGTGTGAATCCCACAGAGACCACCCAATTACTTCGAGGTTGTAGATGGATGTCAGATAACATGAAATATGAGTCAAGCAGGGCTTTCTTTCCAATCAACTAACACATTGCATACAATGTCTAATCTCTTCTAGCAGTAGTAACATTGCAAGTTATTCATCAGAATTCGACAAGTTCTAAAGAGTATACAAATATGACATTGATTACTAGCCAATTATCTATGTATATTCGATATCTGTTATAGATTGTGATGATTAGAAAGGTTTACACATTATGATTAATACACAACTAATCTTATTTAAGTTTAGGTCATATTGTCTTGCCTTATTAATATCTATCTTTAAATGACCTTACAGATACTCATAATCATTATCACTTCCTTTATCAGTTTCGGACTATCTAAACAACTGATGAGAACTGAGAAAATAGAATCAATTTATATGACTGGCTTGATAAGCTAAACTTCTTTTGGATCTAATATATCCTCTCTTTTTCTTCTCAATATATCAAGACATCTTAGAGGAAATAGCAGACGAGTAGAAAAACTAAGGAGAAACAAATTACTCGTGTTATACAGGTTTTCACATCGAATCATTCATTCTTGGAACCTAATTACCTAAAGTTGTGGTGTCCACACCTTTAATTGACTCATTCAAGAGAAGACTAGACAATCACAGAAGCGTATTAGAAAAGGAATAATATAGGCCATAGGCCTTTTGTCCTTATTATTTTACTAATTGAATTCACGAGTCTATGTAAGCTAAACCACCTTTAAAAACTGGAAGCACTGGACGACTGCTGAGGAGTCCCATACTAGGACGAAACGGCCGTACAGTGCTTCCAGGTTTTCAATCGTGATCTAGCTTACACCAACAGTTGAAATTACTACAAACCTTATTCTGATAATAATCATCATGTGGTCACTAGTGACTGATTTCAAGATGATTTCATGGAGTTGTAGTATGAAGCCGTGATCACTGGAGTCCAATACGTGTCTAGTAGAGACAAGTATCTACCTCGGACATTGGACGAATGGTTGCTCAAGATCATAGACCAACTGAAGTTAGACATGAACAATGTTGGATGCCGGCTCAGTGGTCTAGTGTTTAAGCGTTCACGTGCAAGATCAAAGGTGCTGGGTTCGAGTCCTACGCGAAGGATCGTGGACGCTCACTATTGAGGGGTCCCATACTATGACGAAATGACCATCATGTGATTTCAGGTTTTCAGGGGGTGGTCTAGCTTCTAGTCAACTCATGAATTCAACTATTAAAATTACTACAATTTTCACACATACACACACACACCCATCTTGATAAGAATCCAAATTTATCTCGTAGTATTTTCTCATTCTTCATTTTCATCGCTTTATTATAATCAACAATATGAATGGCATCACTATACCGTAAACATTTGTAATCTTACCAAATAAAAAATAAATGATTTTAAAATCTGAACAAAAAAAAACAACAACAACAAAAGTACAGTTTACTAATCTCCCCTTTTTAATCTATGAAACCTTTCAAAATATTTAGATATTCCCCCCCCCCTCTCTCGCTCTTTATTTAGTAGATGTAAGTATAAAACAGCATAACAACAACACACAAACATACTTTGATCATATGCATAATTTACAAAACACTTGTATCCAACATATTTGTTTATTGTTCAAACAAAAATAATGTTTATTTATTTGTGTTAAATGTTATGCCACCACCACCACCACCACCACCACCACTCACAACAACAATAATCATATTGACAACAACAACAACACCACCATCACCACCATCCACAACAACAAACCCAATTCATTTATCTGTGTACTATACATATTTGTATTCTATAATTAAATAAAAATTACTCTTATTAATTTACAAATACATATTTATGCATTCGGAATACTCTTAAAAGTATAAGCTGCAATTTTATTTATTTCAGATAATCATCTTAATAGTAGTATAGTAATAGTTTGTCATTATAAGCCAAATGATAAATGAAATATGACACTTATCAGTGTTAGATACCCTGTGTGCTTTGTTGTTGTTGTTGTCGTGTTGTTGTTGTATATGTATGTCACTCTAGATGAGAATGTATATACAGAATAAACTGTATACTCAGTTAACAATAGTATTAAGGCTAATGATGACTATGTAACAGAACAATGTAAAGTAAAAAAAAAGAGAGAGAGAGAGGGAGGGAGGGAGGGAGGGAAAACAACATGAGATTTAGAAAACATTAGAGTAGAACAATTGTTCAATAGTATTTAGTTTCTAATACAGGTCTGATTAAGGTCAGTTCGTAATGTAAACTAGAAAACATTCAACAATAACGACGACGATGACGACGACAACAACAAAAAAATGTATAAATGTGTTACATTAAACTAAACAACTGATAATATTTCTATATAGAAAGAAA